AAGAAATTCGTCTAGGAATTTGTCATTATTGAGTATACAATTACTATTTCATAATGCGGCAGTTTTCAATATTTCTGACGAACACTATCTTTCAATATATACATAATATATATAATTTAAGCTTATTTAAAATCAATAACAGAAACACAGATCAAATTCTTTTTTTGTTATATGTTATTTTACACCTTTCATATATTGAAGTAAACTGTTTTTATGCGATGTAAAATATCAGCCATTTACGTTTAAACTATTTTGAAATATACGCCGAAAACGACTGAAAGTGTTCAGTATAGATCTATTCAGCCAAATTATAGAATAGTGTGTCAATCAAAAATATTGAAAAAAACTGCTTTATATGACAAATTGGATGGAGTTAGATAGCTTTTTAGATTATTAATTTATAACTTATTATCTAAATAGTATTGTGTTTACTAAGACATAGGGAGGTTATCCACTCAGTATTTTATGGGGTCATGTGTGCACATTTTGTGATTTAAACATCGATCGACTCATGGTCTCAATCAAAATCTCAAGAATCTCCACAACCCCTTCAATGTTAATTACCATATGCTCACTGGTGACATGCTTGATGGGTACTTCCTTGAGTTTTGGTGAGAAGCCGTGACCAGTAGAGCTAATTCGTGTCGAGTAGAGATAGGTCACTACTTCGGACAATGGAAGATGGTCGTGCAATTTCATGGATTAGTTAAAGTTAGACATTAACACAGTTGGATGCCGGCTCAGTGGTCTATAGGTTAAGCGTTCATGTGAGAGATCGAATGCCCTGTGTCCAAATCCCGCGTTAGTGATCATGGGTGTGCACTGTTGAGGAATCCCGTACTGGAACGAAACAGCTCTCCGGTGCCTCCAGTTTCTCACTGATGGCCTACCCTTGACCGATTCATGGTCTCAACCAAGAATTCAACAAAATCCATAATCCCATTACTGATAATTTAAATTTTAGTGTAGAAATGATGTATTCTTCTTTTGAGAAAAATGTATTTATTTGACTATTTCGATAAACCTTGCGTCAAAAAGATTTTCATTTTTCCATTTCAGATTTTATATATCTCCATCTACTTTAGTGCCTATATTTAAGGTATGCTCTTAGTTTACATCACTGGTTAGTTTTAGCTGGATAAATATTGGAACCAGTCAAGTGTTTTGTTATAGAACGGAGCTTCTCGGCACTATCTAATCACTATCACTCCAAGCATTGTGTCCATGACGTTCTTTCTTTCCGATGAGTACATAAGTATCATATCACTGAGTTGTTAAACAGTGGTTTACTCCCTATCATGGTCGTGAATGTGAACTGTTGAAAAATTCCATACCTTGATGTAACAGTTGTCCAATACTCTCTGCATTTCAATGGTTGTCTAGCTAAAGTCAGTCAATAAAATAAATTACAAATTGAACAATCTCCAAAATCCTCTCATACTAAAAGCATATTTGTTACCAAGACACCAAAAATAGAAAATAACAAACAGTAATTTTTATTCAAGAAATTCATTTTGTTGTTATTTAGCATAATTAATTAGATAAACTCTATCTATCTGCCCTGTATTATTGATAGTTGAAGGTTGACCTTTTTAACAGTCTCTCAAGAAAGAAAAAAAATGTATGTTCAATGATATTTGTATTGTATCACTAAGTTTCAAGTAAACTTTGGCGTCTTCACACATAAATTGATTGATGGATTGATTGGTTAATATGTTGATTGATTGGTTGACTTACTGACTGGTTGTTTATAGAAAAATTTTTTAATTGTAATGTAAATGTTAACATCTGAACTGTCTCCTCTTTTTTTTAGTTAATTCTTGATTTATTCACGTAAGCAAAAAAAACAGGATATGAACTTTCAATATTTGAACTAGCAATAAATTTTATTGAATTAAATCAGTTACTTACCCCTTCACATTTTTAAATGATCTTTTTTTTAAGCAATGATGGATAGCGGCTAGCAATGGAATCCAGGACGCGCGTTTCTCCCTATTTGGGACTCGTCAGCTAGATGTACCTGCATCTCAGAGAGTTGATGTTCACTCTGGGACTTGAACCCAGTACCATTCGCTTCAAACGCCATCGCGTTATCCACTCAGCTTGTGAATTAAGGTAATATCGAGGCATACGCACAGTATGTACATATGCCAATAACAGAATGATCAATTGCAGTCTTAAACCTCAATGGGAAGATACAAGCTAAACAATACCATGTGAATTCTTTTTTTTTGTTTAACAATGCATTTTGTTGCTACAATACTCTTTCAATTTAAGCTTTATTTCAGTGAATTTAATCATTATATACATGAACCATATAATATGGATATGGTTTTCTTTTGTAAAAAGTGTAGAATCCTTCTTAATACTTAACATTATTATGTTCACTAAGAAACAATATTATCGTTTTCTTTTCTTCTTGTTTTTCCTACGAGTAAGCGTGAGCTATTTACTTTACAATTTATTTATCTTATACATTCTTTCAGAAGATGAAACTATAGTGACTGAATTGGTTAAACATTTTCAATAATTGATAGCTAGTGAAATATTGAAATTGTTATCTTGATATTTGCACAGGACAGGGTTGGATGGAGAATGCTGGTGAGCGGTCTATGCTCCTTCACGAGGAGTAACAGGCGTAAGTTAGTAAGTAAAGTATCTTGATATTATTTAATTGCATAATTATCAAAGTAATAAAGAAAATTCAAGTTTACATTCATCTTTAACAATTAAGATATTCAGTTAAAATTGACTTTTCATAGTAAATATCTGAAACTGATTTTTTTAAATCATTCTCTAATCATAACGTCTGTGATTGATTTATCCACTGACTGTATTGAAATAAATTTGGGCAAAAGTTTGAAATGTATACTATTGGATGTCGTCGTAATGCTTTAAAAGTCAAAAGTTCCCCGTGGAGTTTATGTGTTCTAGATTCCATGTTCAGTGGGGTTGTGGATGACCACTGATGAGAAGTTCTATATTAGGATGAAATAACTATCCAATGATTTTTGGTTTTCAATAATTCTCTAAGTTCAGTCCCTGATGTAAACTAAAATATCTTCTAAATTTTTAGAATCATTCACTGATAAAAAATCCTTGAAATTCTATGAGTTATATTTTGATCTCTTCACATATAACTGTAGAGTTTGTAAAAAACAGTTGTTCTACAAGTACTTAAAATTGTAATTCTAATGTCAAATGCATTACATTGGAGTGAGTCCACTGTGTTCTTTGTCTTCAGTCCTGATCTAGTGGTGACTAGTAAAGCGTGCACTTGTTAGTTTGAGGAATAAATAAATCACATTATGCATTCAATACTACTACTGCTTTGAGACATGTTAACTACATAACATTATCTGAAATTACTCAACTATAGTCATATCAAAAATTATTATCAGCTAAAAAACTATTGAGAATTGTGAAGCATCTGTCAACTACTTCTCTTTAGTTTGACCCAATACCTAATTTCTCTGTCTCTTATAGCGAAAGTTCCAAGCCACTGAACAATTCCAAATCCAGCAGTTCATATGTATTCGACCTAAGTTGATTTCCTTTAAATACCACTGTCCTCGTTCATTGTTAACTGTGAGTTACTGCAATATTTTCAAGTTCTATTTCCAGAAAAGCAAGTTGGTAAACAATCTAGGTTTCTGGATTGTCACTTCACTTTAATGGAAATTATTATGAACTTTGATTCAATAGTCTATTGGATAAGCATAAAACCTAAATGTTCTGGATTCAATCAGTGGCGTGGTCATGTGTATACACTGATCTGTTATTGTATACAAAGACAAAGGTGTCCCTTGCTTCTTGATTTTCAATAATACCTATAATTAACACCAGTCCTTGACGAATACCATACACAAATAATCTACAATCTGATTCATAGAACGAATTAATTATGAAATCAAACATATTTACTAAAGAAAACAATATTTATAATTATGTATAGATGTATTCACTTCAACAACAAAAAAAGAAAAAAACAACCAAACGAACGAGAAAGAAAAGAAAAGAAAGAAACAAAATAAAATTAAAAAACGGCAAGTGTTTAGGACAGAGATGAAGATGAACAAATCTGCATTGTTGTTATTGTTATTATTAACTTCCTCATCCTCATCCTCATCATACCCGCTAATAAAAAAGGATTCACTGCAACCAATATTACTAATAGTCATAGTAATCTTCAACGTAATAATTACGTAAGATTACTTGAGTAATATATATATATCATCATGTGTATTTCATGTTTATTTGAATATGTTTCACCTTGTGTATGGTTTTTCATTTAGTGTAATATTCTGTAAAATAAAATAGAATGTGCGTGGGTATATTCCCATCATTAATGTATTCATCTGAGCTCCTCTTTGATTAATTCTCGTTGTTCATAGGGTTGTATATCAATTAGGCACATATTAACATTGTATTGTATTCATGTTAGATGATCTCTTATTGTCTCCAGTTTAAAAGGAGAATATAATAATAGAATAGAATAGACTATTTAAAGGTTTACAGGTACACAAATATAATTAATTGAAAATTGTTCATAGTATACACAAGATATTTTTTAGAAGGGAACGAGGGAGAGAGAGGGAGAGAGGTGGGAGGATAAAGGTAATCATTTTACCATATTCAACTATAATCATTACTTTTGTATACACATTATTTCCCAATTGTTTTGAACTCAATTTTACTTGATCTCCGGAGTTCACTACTTTCCTCTCTCTTTCCCTCTCCCTCCCTACATCTTTCACTTTATCAGATACACAACACACACAAAGTAAGACAAAATAAAATTACAATAAAAATACTTAGAGAAATGTATCATCCCCTTTAGATCTCATAAAGCAGTACACAACACATAGGATTATGTATTGCTTTCTCCTTCTTCTTCTTATTGTTTCAAAAATTTATCAACATACTCTCCAAGTGAATGAAATGAAAAGATTTTAAAAAATGACTCGTTGAAAAAAAATTACAAATATTATCTCATATTATTATTATTATTATCATTATTATTAATATAAAATGAATGTAATGTCAGTCAAAGAAATTGACAAGTAACATAGGCTGACTTAAATACATACATATACACACCACACTTACATGTTATATGTATATGCAAATCGTGTATTACAATAGAACCTAATTGGAAATTACACTTACATATGAAAATCTTAGGCTAACAACAAAGAAACCAAATGAATGAATATAGAAGAAACAAAACAAACAAAAAAAAGTAAACAAATAAACAATTTGTATACATAATCTTCTTATAGCCTTATTGAATACAGTTGAATTATGTACAATGAATATTCATTCATAAACTTTCTTTTTCTTTTTTTTGTTTTTAGATATTTTGTATTCAATAAAAGTTGTATTCATTTCAAAATAAGATTTATGAAATGAGTGTGTAGATAAGTAACGAAAGAAAATCCAACTTCCATGTTAGATTGATTACTTTCATTTCATTATTATTATTAGTAGTAGTAGTAGTATTACTTGAATGATATGATTTATAAGTAGTATGAATTATGTAATTTACAATGTTATAATCATTCCCTCAATTGTATTTTCTTTTTTGTTCTCCTATCCTTTTCAAAATATTCATTCAATCACCAGTAGTACCACTAATCATGTGTTCTTGTTCAGTAGATGAAGAACATAATAAATTTTTAGATAAATTTGTTATACTGTCGACTAAATGTTCATTAGATAATAAAATATCTGAATGGATTTGTGGTTGTTGTGGTAGTTGTTGATTTTGTCGATGATGTTGATGTTGTTGTTGTTGTTGTTGAAGAGAATGCATAGATAATCCTGTACGTGTTGATCGATTTATGTTTGTAATTGAATTTGATCCTGACACTGATACACCAGCTGCCATTGCTGCATTATTAAGTAGATTATTAAATTGTGTAGAGAAAAGTAACGATGAATTTGATGATAATGCAGATGTTGATGGTGTTGAAATTGATCCTGTCAATGTGGATGGACATCCTATTCTATTTCCTCCACCTCCTACATCTCCTCTGTTTGAATTCATGTTTGCACCAGCGTATACAGCTGCTGCTGCGGCTGCAGCTACTGCCATTGCTGAAATAGTTGCAGTGGAATCTGATGATGAGTTTGATTTACTAATCGATAAACTATTTGATTGATTTAAAAATGGATTTGAAATAAATGAATTATTATAATGACATGATGTATTTGGTACATCATTAGTTGAACTTGAATTAAATGAATTTGACATTTGTAATAGATTAGATGAATTATTCATGGTATTACTACTAATATTAGCATGAGTATTCCCAGTTAATGAATTATTTCTTCGTGAGGTCGATCTTTCTCGATGAGTTTTTTCATTTAATGGACTATTTGTATAATTTGATTTATTGGTTATACAAGGATTTGTTGGTACGTATTGATTTGATCCAATACTGCTATTATTAGTACCAGTATTTGATGTTGGGGATGGAGGTGAAGAAGCTGATGATGATGATGCTCCACCACCACCACCTCCTCCGCTACCTCCACTGGGTGTTGTAGTGTTACAATTTTCACTAGTGACTGTTTTAAAAACTCCTGATTGGAGAACAAGTCGGCCTTGCATTAATGGTTTAACATAACGTCGTCGAGCATTAATAAACCAATTATTCACTGTTGTACGTGATAATCCAGTTTCCATAGCAAGCATCATTTTTTCTTCTTCTGAGGGATATGGTTCTCTCAAATGATCAACTAACCAACCGAATAGACGTTTCCGTGCTGGAAATGGTAGATTAGTTCTAGACAACCCAACAGCTCGTCGAATACTAAATAATGCACCCGATCCAACGCCACCACCACTAGGCGATGATGACGAAGATGAAGGCGCTGTTGTTGTTGGCGTTGATGTTGATGACGTGGTCATTAATGTTGTAGTTGTATTATTATTGACTGACAAATTTATTGATGAATTCTCATCAGATTCTGTTGAATTCGAGTCGCCCATATTATTATTATTATTAGTTCCAACATTATTGTTGTTTATCAACGATTCAGTGAAATTTCGATGGTAATGGGGATGATAATGATGATTCCGTTTTTGATCATGATTCATGGCAGAACTAGGTGATAAATTTGTTCGACTGGCTCGTCCACTACTAATACTATTATTACTTACATTCCCTGCTTTGGTACTATTCGTATTATTACTATTAATGCTATTGTTGGCACTCATAATATTCCCAGTGAAATTATGATTACATGATTTATTTAAAAACTTCAATTCATTATTTGTATGTAGATGAGCAGTGTTGATCTCTTTGTTTGGTGATTGGCCATGTTTCATTGATTCTAATAGATCTAAAGTATTTAGAAAATTTTTGAAAAAAATGAAAGAGCAGTAAACAAAAACTCAGTGAAATATTTATTAATTGTTATTAAATCAATTGAAGTTGCAACTGTACTGTTAGATGTTAATGCAGTGGATTTTATTAATCAAACATTCACTCCGAAATTTAAATATTCTAGGTTGAGGGTGGAAGAACATCTGGAACTCAAAACAACTGTCAACCAACACCAAGGTCAGAATTTTCAATACAAATGTCAAGGCAGTCCTACTGTATGGGGCGGAAACTTGGAGAACTACGAAAGCCATCATCCAGAAGATTCAAGTGTTTATTAACAGCTGTCTAAGCAAAATACTTCGGATCCGTTGGCTAAACACTATCAGCAACAATCTATTATGGGAAAAAACAAACCATATCTCAGCACTTGGCATCCTAGTATAGTGCACAAGATGTCAAACCACTTATACAATTGATAGAATTGCAATTTGATCGGTAAAAATTGATCAGTATGAAAATGATTAGACAAACACACAGTTGGTTACCACTAAGTGGTCATAAAGTGAAAATCATGGTATTGTTAAAATCCGAAAATTCAATTATTTCATTCTCAATAGTTAAACATTACTATATACATAAAAAATGGGATTAAATCAATCTTAGGGACTTGGTATACTTAAACTTTGTCTTTAAAACAAATAATGCCGTAGAATAATATTGTGGAAACAATTAAATATTCTTGATGCAGCTTAAAAGTGTACAGAATTTATTCCATGTTTTCTTTAATCATAAAATGAATCACTTCACTAGATTTCAGTTTTTATTAGGACAGAAACTCGTGATGTTTACTAAATGTTATGGTTTACATTACGAACTGACTTAAATTGGACAACCATTAAAAACCAAGAAACATTGGACTTGAGTTGAATGATCCACTGCTGAAAGTTTGATCGCTAACAATCCCACACACCTTTTTTTCGAATAAATAGAATTAATGTTTAACATTGACCCCTAAGAGACTTGCCGCTTAGCAAGCATACAAACAGTTCAGTACGAAACTAGTTGAATCTCAAGCAATAAGTCCATGAATGACATACAAAACTGGATCACTTCAAAAGTGTAAAATGTTTAAATGGTTACAATGACAGAGTGAAATGCACACCGTAACTACGTCAACCGCTAACCCATTACCCTTGGCAGAACATGCAATCCAAATGTAATGTGAATAAAATCAAAGTATACGATGATCTATATATTCCGATTTAGAAATCAATTAGAGCTGATTAATACTTTCAGACAGCTGTATTTGAAATAACAAACTACAATCTGCTTAAGGTAACTAGATTACAAAATATATGTGATGCTTACTGCTAAAGACTCTATACTAAATCAAAACAAATGTTCAATGCTTCCTGGTTTTCAAAGGTTACCTAACTTAGATTAGCCCCTAATGCAAATTACAAAATTCTAATTACTTTCTAATATATATTCAATTGAATAATAATGAATCGTAATTTTTAAAAAAACTTATGATATATCGTATTTAATTATTGACTATTATCATTTCAATAGTTGAAATCATGAGTCAGTTGAAGCTAGACAACCATCGAAAACCTGGAAACACTGGACGACCGTTTCGTCCCAGTATGGAACTCCTCAGCAGTACGAATCCATTATACTGCCCTCCCCTCAAGAAATTCGAACCCAGCACATATCAGTCTCACACACGAGCGCCTAACCATTAGATCATTGAGCCGGTTAGCATCCAATGGTGTTAATGTCTAACTTCAACTAATCCACGAAATTGCACCAACGTACACCATAATCTTCAGTGAGTTTATATCTCACAACAAACCCAGTTGAATTCCACTTGTCACTGCATGTCACTAGAACTCCAGGAAATGTCTCTTGATGTCAGTCACTAGTGAGCAGATGATTATCATTTGGTTATTGATCAAATACTAATAATCATTTCATCTTATAACATAGTTCATTCAAGATCAATTTTCAAAAAAATCGTCTTGTTTTCTCTTAACTACATTTCTTTAAAGTTTTTGTTTTACCATTTAAATATTATTTAATATTTATTAAAATAAATCTTATAAATAATTCATTGTAAACAATATCAAATAACAACAAACTATAATAATCATATGGATAGTTTGAAAAATAGACATTTTTTCTCAAGTTTTAACACTATTTGTTTATCACCATCATCAATATATTTTTAAAAAGTGTCATTCTATTTTACCCTTCCTTTTATACATCAAATTACTGATTGATTGACTAAACAACTGACTAGCTGAACAATGTAAACAACTTAACTCTGTCAGTCAGTAAATAATCTAACCTACTTATGTATATGTATATATATATATATATACATATATATCCCTTATGACAGACAGATACTTTTATTAGTATAGATTATTGAAAATAGTTTTGGGTGGCATCTCTTAGTTCAGTATTCATAGACAATTATTTTTTTTTAGGACATTTGGCAGGCAGATAGGCAGGTAGGCAGTTGTCTGAACTTTGTTGAGTTGTATACACATTTATGTATACATACATATTACAGTCAGCATGGGGATTTTATAGGTGATTTTTAACGACATTTTTGATTGACAGGAAAAATATTATCCCTTCAGTGAATATGTATGTACTTACATGTGTAACTGATAGACACACTAACTTAAATGACTGACTGATTGATTGATAGAAAGAGATGGATAATTTGTACATGAGTTTGTATGTATGTATTTGTGTATGTGCTCATTCGTTCAAAAAAATGGATATAATAACGTACATCCATGATAAATATGGTCATGCATTCTGTTTAACTTTTATTAGGTGGTGGAATACCCTGTTTCTCTCTCTCTCTCTTTCAATCTTATGTCTTTCACACTGACATTATATAGTTCTGTGAAGAAGGAAATGAGAGAGAAGACAACAAATAGAAGGAAGATTGGATGAATGAATAAGTAAATGGATGAATGATTGATCGACTGATTTTGACTGAATGGGATAGTAGAAGCTAAAAGTGACTAGCTCACTGCAACAACGTATATAAATAGTAAGACCATTTCAGTGCAATTTAGTATATCATTTAACAAAAAAGAATGAAAAATCATTGAAGTAACACGATAACATAAGAGAGAACAAAAATTACAACACACTGAGAAGAATAGTTAGTAGCACGAACATGATGACAATAATGATAGTTGTAATCCTATCACTATTGGTACTACTATTATTACTATTAGTGACAACAAAAACATGAAAACAAAATAGAAGAACAATAGTCGCAATAAACACTGACCAAAAGTGATTGAGTGAATCAAAAACAGAAAACAATGTGATATATTTTATTAGGAAATTAATAAAGGAAAGCAACAGAATTATTGAATAGATAGATAGTTAATGTTACAAGTAATCCAATCTATTTATCTATCTATCCATCAATCTATTATGTACAAGTGTAAATACATGAATATGAGTGTACCTGTATTGTTTCTATAATTCGCAGTAAGAAAATTGTTCACTTATTCAGACATATACATGTACACATACATATAAAGTAACATTTGATTGACATATATCTGACATGAAAAGTCATTGATGTAGTCAGGTTTTCATAGAAAGCGTAACAAAATAACAAAAACAAACAATTTTCTAACACTACAAAATAACATTGTATTACATGTACACTTACAAATAGAGAAAAAAAATGTAAGGAGAGAATTATGCATAATTATAGCTGGGAGAAATTGTAACTAACATACATTGATACATTGAATATAAAAGATTTACATATTACTATGTATATTTGTTTGTATGTGTTTTTTAACAACAGAGAACATTTACAAGTTGGTACACAATTTAATCATTATTTAATAATTAAATAACATGACAACAATAACTATCACAATGATAATGCTAATTGTTATTTACGTTATACAATAATCATTATATTAAATAAACAGACAGAATACACTACTCATCAAGAGTATAAGTAGTTTAAAATGAAATTAGTCACTTTGAGTTGATTATTTATACTTTCTTTAATCTGTTAATAGGGGAACACTTATGAGAACTGTTCAGCAACAATAAACATAATTGTCTAGTAATTTATGGCTTTGAATGATTCTTCGGTTAATAACAACTGATGATAAGAAATCAATTGAAGATATTCAATTATCAATATCAATGAGATAACTATTTCATTTATTACGTTATCATTCAGAGTAGTGTAGTTTAAATAAACTGTGTTTAAATTGATGAAAAAATCAGATCTAAATTTGAACTGCAAACGTAGATCATTTATTGATTGTAGTTGAATTCATGAGTTAATTGAAGCTAGATCATCATGGAAAACTTGCTGAAGTGTCCCATACTAGGACGAAATGGCCGTCCAGTGCTTCCAGGTTTTCCATGGCGGTCTAGTTTCAATTAACTCATGAATTCAACTATAAAACTACTAAAATCTTCACAAAACCCCTTCTGATTTATTGACTACTTTGTATTACATAATTGCATAATTAAAATTATTAGTTATTTACTTAAAATAGTCAATTATTATTATCATCTTATCCAATTAAACTTTTGAATGTGTATCTTAACTTCAACAAAAAAAGTCAACATACTATAATGAGATAAATATAAATTAAAAGTACTTGATAGAACAAGCTGACTGTGTTTTTTTTTTAGAAACTAGTAAAATGTAAACAAACAATTTTCTACTATAAATTTCTCTTTTTCATTAGCTTCAAAAGTCTATTATAAGTATTTTTCATTTCATAAAGCAATTAAAGAAAAGAAGAATATGAGGATTTGCGAAGAGTGTAGAATCTTCACAGTGGGATTCATGATGGCTGTTCAATGCTTCTAAGTTTTCAACGATAGTTTAGATTAAATTGATTAGTGAATTCGACTGTGAAAAAGCACAATATAAAGATGAAAATAATTGAACGATGAAAGATTTCCATTCGGACGAAATCATTTACTAAAGTTTTACAA